TCTATATACAATACGAGTCCTGAATCAGGGTGATCACAAAAGCCTAATGTCAGGCTCACTGTGGTCACTTTTATACACCAAAACTGGTTTTATTCTTGTATTATTATGTGAATATACGTGCAATTGTATTGTTTGACAATATTCTTTTTATGCAATATTATGTATATGCATATATTCTTCTAAATTTAACGAGATTGAAGTGAAGGTTATCTTCCAAATGCATCTTCACGAAACTGTCTCCAACTTATGTGCGAACGTGATCCTCCGTTTTTCGTCACGCTTACCATTCTTTCAGTGGATCAGTTCATGTTCAACTTCGGCACTTGGGACAGTCAAGCGCCCGTGCTTGATGCGCGTCTTCATGCATTGCTTGTTTCCTCTCTTCGGCCGGCCGGCTCCAGCCTCACTCTCTCCAGCTCGGCTACTGCGGTTGCCGCCTCCGAGTCCTTTGCTTCTGTCTACGAGCCCGCCACGGGGCTCCTCTGCACCTGCGCTTCGGACTGCGCCTCTCTGGCCTCCGGCTTCGTCATGGCAGACCCGCCAGAGTGGCATCACTACGAGGTGAGCCAGCACCAACATCAGCAGCAGCAGCAGCATCAGCATCAGCATCAGCAACAACAAGAGGACCAAAACTGGTGTCAAGACACGTACCGGCCTCAGGAGCAGACGTCACGGAGTCTGCTGTCGAAGCGACAAGAGAAGGCGGCAGCGCCGTGCCAGACGCCGGCACAGGCCTTCTTGACCAGCGGCGACGGAGACGGACACGGAAACGGAGAGCAGCTGATGAAACCGGTCAGGTGGCCGGCTCGAACGGTTGACGCAACGGACACGAGAAGTGAGAGGTCAGAGGTCGAGGCGAATGAGAAGAAAGCGAATTTAAAGGAAGAGGAGAAGAAGGAAGCAGAGGTGGAAGATGGGCAAGGTGATGCTGATGATGATGCTGATGATGATGATGATGATGATGATGATGTTGGTGATGATGCGGATGAGGAGGCTGCGAGGGAGACAAGGATTGTGAGGCTTCGAGAGGGCAAGTCGAGAGGCTTAAGACGGAGGAGCCCAAAGCCGGCTGGCGACGAAGAGGGCCAAAGGTCGCCGGGCTTCTCGAGAGGCCGAATTGTCGCCTGCCTTCAGCGCTTCACGCAATGGAGTCCCAACACGGAAAAGCAGTTGCATCGCAGCACTTACGTCCGCCAGACGCGTATCATAAGCCGGGTAAGGCATGAGGCGAACCATCATTGTAATATATACGAAGAAAAGTTGGGTTTCGAGGAATCTCTTATTTCATAATCTCCATTTCGAGTGGAAGTGTTGGGTGAAGAGATTCGAAGGTCGGTTCCACCAGAAGACGACGGCGAATCCCTCTTGACCAGCT